ATAGCTGTTTCACCCCAGCATCCAGTTGATTTATTTGACTTTGGTGAGATGTCATATGGTGTACCGTGTTAGCGATTCAGGACTGTTTTTGTTTCATGTGCCTCGGAGGGTGCGGAATCTTCGATCTGTATTCCTGCCTGCTTCGTGAAAGAATTGTTGATGGGCTGATCGTTCGTGTACATCAAGCTGCAGTCTACCTGCTATCTGCTAGAGTCCAGACATCTCCTAAAGACTCGATGTCTGGACTCTAGCAGATAGCAGGTAGTATTGCGTAGGAAAGAGGTGGCACTTGCGATTGGTTATACGTCGCTGCAGATCGATAATTTGACACCAACAACGGAGCGCCACGGCCCACCCACAGGTCTGCAAGCAATTTACGGACCAGATTTTGCTTCTTCCGGCGTCACGACAGCGTGTCCCAATGCTCGGCGTGCGACCGCCAATGACTGGCCCGAGCATCCGCGGGTCTGTGGCCGACTCACCAGAGAGCGGGGATGACCTTGCCGAGGATCCCAGCAGCGCGCCGCAGCGTGCCGACCATCTGCAGTACGCCGTAGGGCACCAGGTGCACGGCGAGCTCGTCGGGCTACGTGGCCCACAGGCGCATTTATTTCTCGAATGACAACGGGATGATGCATGGTTCACTCTCTCCTGCGTAATCGGCTTGATCGCAATCGTCTGCAATGGAGTATTCTCGCTGCTTGCCGACCGCGTATCTCTTGAATCGCTTACTCACCTGAATGGCTTCAGCAGTTTCGGCACCGAGTCGGTTTCGCTTCTTGGTCATTATGTTCCTGGAGTCGGAGAATACGCACTCTGACGGAACAGAGGTTGCGACCATTCCCACACAGAAGCGAGCAACCTTTGCCAGAAGGAGCCACTGACCTTCATGCATCTTCCACCAGTTTCGAATATCGGTCTTGAACCCGGCCACCGCTGCTTCCCGTACTCTTCCAACTGCTCAACCGCGGTGAGCTCAAAACCAGTTTGCCCGGCCTCCTGCGTTCCCGAGAGGCTTTCAAAGAGGGACACCGGCTTGTTTGCTTCCCGCGCAACACGATCGGGGCGGGCATTTTCGAATGGTTTGGCACCCATAAGTGCAAGCACTTTGTCGCGGGCGGCACCTTGATTCGCTGCATCAAGACCGGCAAATCGTTTCAAACGGGGATCCAAAACGAATGCAACGGCGCTTTCGTCGCACACCACCAAATAGTGATACACGTTCAGCTTCTCTTCCATTGTCAATTCAGCCTCGACAACGATCGGCACATGTGACACCACGGCGGTTGCCACCGTGCTCTTCATGTACACAAAAAAACTGGTAGACCAGCTGCATGTTCGGATAAGACAACCCGCTGAGCTCAGTAGTGATGACATCGAACGTCTTGAGAAACGGAACCAGGATTCTTGCCACTTCGAAGTCCTCAGGGCTCAGTAGGTGCTCTCTCGCTTCCGGTGACTGGTGGTTGATCTAGTTTGCAGCTGGTAGACACCAATAGCCAGCTCCAGTTGGAGCAGCGACTGCATCATCGTAAACGAGCTGTTCCATCTGATGGAAACATCAGCTGTCAGCTGTATGTCTTTCAGGACAATTTCGACATGCTGATCGTTCGAGGCGTTGACGAGATCCTTCGCAGCGGCATTGAGATTTTGCTTCTGCTTACTGCTGTTGCGGACGAAGTTCACAAACTTGCGCAGTTTGTCAA